GGGTTGGGTTGAAGGGTTGCGGGAGGGGGAGGAGTCAGGGGGGGGAATGACCACCGCCGTTACACGACTCTCGACGACCATAGCCTCGTTCCCCCCTCCTCATCTATCCGTCCCTCTCTCCCTCTCTCTCCATTTTCCTCTATCCCGACTAGCTAACGACGCCCCCCCCCCCCCCCTCTCTCTCTCTCTCTCTCTCTCTCTCTCTCTCTCTCTCTCTCTCTCTCTCTCTCTCTCTCTCTCTCTCTAAATTCCTCTGAGACTACTGTACCGGGACCTTTAATACAAGATTTTTTTTGTGACCCATTGTTGGGGCTCGAGTATGGGGAGCTGAGGACGAGGGAGGAAGAGAAGCGAGAGAGGGTGCGGGTGAAGGGGCCCGTATCTCCCTTCTCATTGCACTATTCCTCCATGAATACGGATTTCGTATAGTCTCCTTATGAAATCTAATTTTTACGATTTTCTTTTTACTCATTACTTTTGTCTTGTCTAATTCGACGGAGAAAAAAAAAATATATATATATATATATATGCTAAAGAAATATGACAGACCAAAGAGTGAGAAACTGCTAAAGGGTTGGCTCTTAAAGATGCCCAAACCGTCTAGATGTCTGTCCGAACCTAGCAAAAACGCATAATCCATACGTATACAGTGTGTGCCCGTTGAATGAAACCTTGTCTTATTATAGACGAACGTGGCCTGATTTAAGAGAGAGGAAGGGAGACCTAGACTTACGCCAGCATATAAATAACGTGTGTGTGATTTTCCAGTACTTTTTTCAGTTTCGGTTTCTTTTTGAAGTTCAATGAAAGATGTTCACACACCCTGTTCTCCCAAACCCTGCTTTTTGGGTACAGGCTGTTAAGTGGGGGAGGCAGGACAGGCGGCAGGGGAAGGGGAGAAGGGAGAATGTGTGCGTGTGTATTTGTATCCGGGCAATAAATCTATCAAGAAGCTGCGGCTTGTACTCTTTTCTGCGCAGTGGGGAAATGGCTGAACGTGCATTCTCTTTTTCTAACGTAAAGTTCCCGTAAATGCGAAAGGAAGTGGATGAGAGAGAGAGTGAATGAATGAAGGAAAGAATGAATGAGGGAACGCAAATTGCCAGTGGGTGAAGGGGATAGAGACCGCAGGCGGGCAGACAGGCAGGCAGGAAGTGTCATGAGGGGTTGGAAATAACGGGAGAGGGTGAAGTGGGGACATAATGAAGGGGCGCGGGATGAGAAAAGGAAGTAAAACGCAATATAACTTGAGATGGGACAGGAAAGCCAGGAAGAGCGATGGGAGAAGGGCACAGGGCTGAGTAGAGTCAAATCGTGTTTTTTTGCGGTTTACTGAACATCCCGGACGTTGTGTGTGTGAGAGAGAGAAATAGACTTGTGTATTATCAGATTATTCCGATGTTAGATATCATTCTTGTTATTATATTAATGTTAGCATTAGTATTATTGTTGTTGTTTATAGTTAGGCAGATATAGATACATGGATATTTATCATTTTATTTACCTGCTCAATGTGTGTAGTGCGTTGCGTAGCGTATTAAGCATTGTTTAACGAAGCAGATTGAAAAGGAAGCTTTTTTTTTATTCCACGTCCTTTTACAATGTCAATATTTTCTCGTATTTGTTTATTTGAAGGTTAATTTGGGTAACCACTGGGATGAATACCGGTAACAAAGAAAAATACAAATATATAAAGAAAATATATATAACCGAAAAGGGTGTCGGAAGAGGCTGATGTTTATTTAATTCAGATTTTTTTATTTGCCGTAGTATAAGGGAGAGTTAATGACAGATCTCTTCGCGAAATGTAGTTTTGTCAGAGTGGTATTACCCACTATCATTATACATGGTACAAATGGTTTGCATTTTAAGAAACCGGTATTCTCGCAATTGCTAACTAATATAGTATTTGCAAGTCTTCAATGTGAAAGAAGGAAATTGCCTATTCATTTAGAGGCAGCAAAGAAGTTCAGAAAAGAACTAGAAGAAACGAGAGGATGGGAAGAATAAGTGGGTAACCACTCAAGGCGACTACATATAAAGCGTCGTAATTCATTCTGGCGAAGAAAGGCTTTCTTATGAAATGTCTGAAGCTTCGCTCGCGCTTCTTTATTGGAGGTTTCGCAAGCTTTTAAATTGTGTTTTATCTTCCGACCGTGAAGTGTAAAATCTTACATGCGTGTCTGTGTACTGTTTGTGTATCACGCTTGGGCACGCAGGTTCACGTGTGTGTGTGTGTGTGTGTGCGGCGCCAGTGTATATACAAACAACGGCCGTGCTACATATTCTAATTTAGATCATTGTTGACAGTTGTAATGTAATCAAACGTTGCGCTTTGTCAATTAAAAGGCTTGACATACCAGACCGAATATGGGCCGGTAATGAAGGGAGTGAGCGTGGGGAAATAGATGAAGGGAAACGGAGAGAGAGAAGAGAGAGAGAGAGAGAGAGAGAGAGAGAGAGAGAGAGAGAGAGAAATAGGAGAATAGACGAGGAGGGACTGATTGAGTAAAATGATAAAAACCCATTAGCTTTCCGCTGCCCCCTGGAAAACGCATTGTGGTAGCAAATTTCTGTTGACACACACTTGACTACATAAAAGGACTCGCTTGTTAGTAAAATGAATCGATCACAGGACATGAAGGGAAGGTATAATTTATCGACTTTACCCTCCGCTTGCTGGCTGGTCCGGTTGCGACCATTTTCGCTCTCGTGTATATTCTCATGGGGGGGGTGAATGTTTTCTGCCGCTTTGTCGTTAATGGTCTCGTGCTGTTATTATGAAACTTGATAGCCAGTGAACTGTTTGAATGTCTGTGTTGAAATGGGTGTGCGTGTGTATGCATTTGTGTAATGTGTCTATACATTACATACATACAATTTTATATATATATGAATTTGTATATATATATATATATTAATGTATGTATGTATGTGTATGTATGTATATATGATACATACATACATACATATATACACATTCATATATATATATATATATTATGTACATGTGTGTGTGTGAGAGTGTGAGAGTGAGAGAGCGAGCGTATGCTGCAATATATTTCAAGAGGCTAAATTGTAAATTGGTCAGATTTATCTTACGCCGCAAGGGGTCGATTCGTAAGCGCCGTTATTTCGCAGCTGGTGCGACAAGCAAGTCCTTGGCGTAATCGAAATTACAGCCATTAGCCGTTCCTTTTCACAAACTTCGAATAGGCTAATAGGGATTGAAGTCCTTGAACCGAAGTCGCTTCCATGTGTGCCACATTCATGTTCAACATTCTCAATAGATTGGGTAAGTTCTTAGAATTTCATATTTCTGTGTGGAGGATATTAACTGCACGTGGAGCAAAGAAACCCGCAAGAGACTGTGGTCCAGGTAACAGGTACTTAAATAGTGGCTAGAGTGGGCAGGACTGTAAAGGAAGTGTAGTATGAAAGCAGGTAGGCAGGTAGGCGGACAAGCAGTCAGACACACAAGCGGTTTTAGGGTAGGAGAAACAATAACCCGGGTATCCGTGTATAAAATGGAGGGTATTTAGTTTTTCATTTTTATTTATTGTCCTTTTCGCAATGCCCACTTGGTTTATCCACTTTCAAATTACATTTGGAAAGGGCAATGTTGTCAGGGAGGCTTGTTGGATGTGTGCCGCTTAGTGTGTAACATTTTTAACGTGAAGGTCACACACAACGCCCTGCCTTTGCCTCTCTGGGAGACATGCATGGGGCCCGCTGGAAGGGTGTCTTCGTCTCGCATCTGGAAGATAAATTGACCGCCATTTGCCTCTGTATTTGATATTTCGTTTACGAGTAATAACGTAGTTGGATTGCAGAAGACGCGGTTTTGGTACATTTCTTGTTCAAAATAAATTTTAACAGATACATTTTTTTCGATCAAAATATACACAAAAACCTGGAATACCCTTGTGGTTAATGTCGAATCTTGAGCAACAAGTAGGCAGCCAGGCAAGAAACCCCTCTTAAGTCTCCAACAGTCACTTACTTGGGAACACTGTGCTAGTAAAGCAGATGAAATCGACTGACTGCACTGACGCCAGATATTGTGAGTTTTTTTTTTCCGCTGAGCGACCTGTCCTCTCTCTCTCGGGTCTGTTTTGGCATAGAGACGGCCATTGACCTAGGAGTTCCCCTTCTTTCCCTTTTATTCGCAGCTGCAAAGGCTATGTGTGGGCCTTTTAAACCGGGTCGTGTGCGTATTATCCCGTGTACGTGTGGGTAGCCGGTATGAAGACCCCTGAGGTAGATCGGTTTGGAATTGTGTGGCGGTTGTTTACTGATCGGAGGATTGGCCTTGAGACGATCGGCCTGTCTTCTAGGAATGAGGTTTAGTGTATGTACATATATATTTTTCAGTCAGCGATGTCGGGCAATTTAAATTTCCAGAATGTTGAAACAGCTGATAGTTGACGATAGACGTTTTATCGGGGCTCGGGTCTACTATATCGGGGTTACTGGGGACAGATGATGTACCGGTCACGAGTGTTTTGGTTGGATTTAAAAATGGCGTTGGCGCACGTTAGCATTTTGCCACGAATTGCTCAGTGTGATTAGTACCTAAAAGTACAGGAAAAATAATTAGGCTAATGAATGACGACGCTGTTTTAGTCATTTTCGGCAGATTGAAATATGAGATTGTTTGAATTCCTCCCCCCTCCCCCCCAAACGGACGAGCGCGAAGCAGGATATGCAGGGGCGTGGGGGGAGGGGGGGCTCGGCGGGGAGGGAATCATCTGGTCGCGCAGTAGTGTTTCTCACCCAGGGACAACTTAACGTTTTATTTTTACACAACACATACATGTTGGTTGGTATTTTGTCTACTTAATTCATTTTGAAGATCCGTTGCTGCTGAACACACCTGAATAAGAACTAAACGAAGTAAAAAGAGTTGGACAACAGGTCGCTGTTGTGGCGAGAAACCTTACTACGAAAAGCGCGGGAATGCGGAGCTTCGCGGGAAAAACGGACTCGATCCCCAGCGAGTGAGAGAGAGAGCGAGAGGGAAGGAAGTGGGACTGGGCTGCGTTGTGACAGTTCTCGAGACGCCGCCTCCGTTTTTGTTATATTCGTGTTATAACCGTTCCCTCGTGTGTTCTCATTTTGTGCGAAGGTGTAGCAGTGTTGGAGAATTAAGTGACGTTTCGAGTTTTTTTTTTTCGTGCGAGCTCGTAGCGTGAATGGCTAACAGATGAACGTGACGCTTGCTAGGCCTACCTATGCTGGACTTGGCGTGTGTGAATGACCGGATCAAGGCTGTCACGTTGAATTTGCTAATAACCAAAGATTCTACCTCTACTCCAATCTACCGTTGCCAAAGATCATAGAGCATTTATTTATTCGACGTACATAGTGATATTTTTATTTATTTAATTATCGTCAAATTATAAAGAAGAGATGGAATCCCTGGCCTTGAAGAACGAGGCCGAGTTCCTCCTCAGTGAGTACGACACTCTGGGCGATCTCTGGGGCGAGATAGAAAACATCACGCCCAACCTGCAGGACCCGAGCCACACAGGCGCCCACTACCTCGTCAACGCACAAGCTGTGGGGGGGAGCAGCTACCTCCCAGCCCACGCCAAGCACACCTATGGGCGTGCGGTGGGTGGCGGAGGCGTTACTGCGCCCTCACGCCATCAGCCTCAGCTTTTGCATTGGCCCAACGCCGGAGGCAGCTTGGGTCAGGTAAGCTACTTCCGGTGCCACGGGAGATGGGAAAGTGGAGTTGGGGGAGGGGGGGTCGCATTGCCATATTCCCTAGCCTTCTCCTGAAATATATATTCTTTCCTGAAGCTTCTTGGCCCTCCTTGAAATTATTTCTTGTGTTCCTGAAATTTCTTGTGAAACTGGTTGTGCTGGCTAGTTGTCTTGGCAACTGCACGCATGTGTGTGCTTGCGATGCGCGTACGTGAGTTTACATACATGGTCACGGATTTACCCAAGCTTCTGCCGATGTACTTCTCGCCAAACCTGGAGGCCGATTTCAACGCGCATTTGTTCCAATCTCGCTTCTTTTTCCACCCCCAGGGCCAGACGGTTCTGCAGACGAGCAAACTCCCGAGCGGCCAGATCATCGCCATCCCCGCCAAGCAAAGCCTCAATGTCCAGAATATTCGTGAGTATTGCTCGTGTCCTACAGCAGTAGTAACGGTAGTAGTAATGATAATAGTTTTAAGATTAACTGTAATAATGACTGTAAATGACGACGATAGTAGTGAGAATGGGTACCATGGTCGACCAACATGTCTGACTCGATTCGGTTTTGATTCGGCTGATGGCATTGTTTATAGCAAAGGCATGGTGTTTTACCTTTCAGGTTGTCAAAGTGCACATTTTATAGAAGTTTTTTTGTTGTATTTTGTACTACTTTCCTTGTATTTTGAGGCAGTTCGTTCAAAATATCTTTTTATTGTGGTTATTTGGTTCAGTTCATTCTCGGCAGCGTTCGAGGGAAATTTCCAACTGTCACTTTCTCTCACGAGATATTTTGCAAGTGTTGCCTTTCACGTTTCGCATTTTAGGGTGTAAAATCTGCCAGTCCATGGACTCGTCACAAAAACAAACGCCTCCGATTTTACAACCGATGCAGAATGTAAAAGGTAATTTTAATCTTTAAATACTGATGAATCATTATTGATTTCCCTTTATCACTTACTTTATCATTAGATATCCGACATATTTCCCTATCCGATTAAAAAATATATTCATTCCCTATTTGCTCCAGCATGCGTGTTGAATTATCGTTCGTGTTGATTGGAGGATCAGGCGGTTGTTATGGTAACGGGGTTGAGCGGAGTTGGCGAGTCGAGTGATAATTGCAGGGATTAGGGTGCGCAGAGCCGTGCTGTGGGAGACGGCGGGCGGGCTGGAGGAGGAGGAGGAAAGGGCATTGCTGCCGCGATGAGGGGCGTTAGAAGCGAGGCGACACGCGGGGTTCTGTAAGCACACACGCGGTGTTAAAGAAGCTCATTGGAAAACGAGTTCCGTTATCCCAAATGACTAAAAGTAAAGAGGAGAGGAGTTAGCTTTTGAATAAAGTCATCCTTGTACTTTTTCGGGCATTGTATCGGCACGGGTAGTTTTTAGCAATTATGTCGGATTTTGTTTTGAATGGGCGGCTTGGACGGACGAGATGAGGTGTGGCTTAGTCGTCTGTAAGTGACCGCAGAACCTCAGGTCATGTTAGGTCAAGGGAAACCGCTATGGAGACTGGGGGTCAGGTCAGCTTAATTAGAGAAAGATGATGGCCCAGGTTTTGCGAGGAGGAAGAACAGCGGATGTTCGTTGAGTAGATTGAGTCACTTGAACTTTTTCACAGAAACAGTTATTTGAAGAAAGCAGGGAATTGTGACGTAAGACACCTCGATTAGTAAATGTTTGTTTTGTAATCGTTGACGATTACAAGGGTTTGTTTAAATAGGTTCACCTTAGGAAATGTTGGAAACGCTGATTACTGGTTGAATTATCCGATGGACTTAATACAAAAGAAGTCGTCGCAGAAGCATCAGCAAACATAAAACACAATGCGCGCCCTTGAAGCCAGAGACCATGAAGTCACACCTCAGTCCCTGCAATCTCGAGTCCGCCAGCCCGTCAAGGTCGCAACTCCTCCACTATTGGCCGTTCGTATCTTTTTTCTCACCTTCTCATTTGCTGCCCCCCCCCCCCACACACACACACACACACACATCTCCCTCTTCCTTTTACTCGCACTGCATGGAGCAAGAGGCAACATGAGGCTTATTAAAGCTCGTTTTGTTTGACTTTTTTCCGGAGGGCCATCCTGTTAAGCGCAAATGACGGAGAGTTGCGGCTCGCTCATTACGAACCTCAAAATAAAAGTTAGTGAAGGGGTCGTTATTTTATAGGCGAGGCAGGGGAGGTAAAGGTTTATCTCATAATTGGACTGGGGAGCAGTTCTCTTATCTCATCAGCTGTCTGCGCGCGATGTTAAAATGACGGTCAGTTGTTTGTTTATGGATATTTATTATTGTAAAATATTCGGCCATGAACTAGAGTGAACACCTTTATATACTGATAAGCAGTGATTAGAGGTGATGTACATTATAGGGTTGATAATGTCTGAGTGAATAACCATAATAGTTTATATTCAGTGTTGAAAACCTGATCCCATTTATTACATGGTACAAATATGTTTTTTCAACTGACCTTTAAACTTGAAATTACTTCTCTTCATATTTAATTTTTTTTTTTTTTTTTTTTTTTTTTTTTTTTTTTTCCCTGAAAATATTCAAAGAAAATTACTCATAATCTTATACAAGAAGAGACATGCTAAATTGAGTTGTTCAGCTTCGAATTTACTTGGATGAATCTTTTCTAATTCCTATTTGAAAAAAATATTTTGTATGCTTTTAATCAGTGAAAGTCATGTAGACCTTGTAAGCAGTTGAGTATTTCTTGAAGGCTTTTGGTTATTAGAATATCAACATCCAAATTGCTGAGAAAGGTTTGATTTGTTTAGTAGTTGTAATATTGATATTTATTCACACACATCCACAGTTTCAACATTATAATTGTTTCATCTGTTTATAGGGGGAAACCAGGTGATGGTACCTGTAAACAGTGTACAGATGAAGTCTCCACTTAGAAGTGTGGATCAACAACACACGGGAATGACAGGAAGATCATCTCTCGCCACTTCACCCGTTGTCATTCGGACTCAAACTGGATCGCTCACTGCAAACCCTGTGGTTGGTGTTTGTAGAATTTCATGTTCTCTTTGTAACTTGGAATTTAAAGCTAAAGTAATTTTTAGAAAATGATAGTATCTTTTGTAACTGTATCCCACTCTCCCTTGGCTAGACTCTTCAAACTTCTCAGACAACGCAACCACAAATTCTTCAGCAGCAGCAACAGCAGCAGCATCAACAGCAACAGCAACAACCACCTCCACCTTTGCAACCCCAACAGCAGCAACATAGTACCCAGGGTGTAGGAGCTACGCCACCAAAAAGTCTAATCACAACTCCAATATTAGATCATAGTGGGGCGCGGAAAAGACATGATTTTGACTTCGATTACGGAGTTGAAAGGTATTTAACTGAAGCTGTATTTGTAAGACTGAATTACTTCAATTTCATTCCTTGTAATCCCATCTCTCTCAAAAAAAAAGTTAAGCTTGGAGTACATCTTTAATTTAAAGTTCTAGATTATTCTTCATTCCCAGAGAAAAATCAATAAATGTTTATGGTTACCTTTTTAATTAAAATAAGAATTGGTAAGAACAATAAGATTTACGTAATTTCATAATGCAAAGGAAGTAAGAAAAGGAGACAAAGTATCTCAAACTATCCAGCGTTTGGTGTAAAAGTATTTCAGGAAGATAAAGGAAGAAAACCGAATAAATAGAAATGGGAACATAGCAGCTGCGTTGAAGTTGAAGACACAATTTTGATTTATAAAGTGCTATAGTATCTGCAAGTCATTCTCATGGATTTTAACAGGCAGCGCTTGAAAATGTTCAGGATTAAGAGAAAATAATGTTTTAATGATTAAAGCCAAAGTAATAATGTGAATATTGAGTGTTTCTTACTGAAGTTCATGAATATATATACTTTGGTAAAGTGCCAGAACAATTTTAAATATTAGTGTGCATCTATAACATCATCAAGCTAGCCTAGACAAGCAGAGCCCAGGAGATTGTAATTGTAACACAACTAAAGTAAGAGGCAAGTTGGCATTCACACCTGGGCCAAGTTTGACTAGTACTACCTTAGTATTATATCCCAAAATGCATAGATTATCATCATTAAGTTTAGTAATGGTGTATGGATGTGACATTTGGAGAGTAAACAGCTCAGCAGAAAAGAAATTAAGCATATATGAGATGAGACTGAAGTAAAAGATATTTGAAGATTTGATAAAAGAACTAAACTGAATAGGTTAGACAGAACTAAAACAGAAGAAAACAGATAAGGAAAGTGACTGTCTGAATGGACTTGCAACATAGTAATATTACCAAGAGACTTAACTGGAAGGTAATTTGGGGGCAACACTTGGCTAAGGTTTGCATAGTCTCAAGCATTGTGAGGTTAGGGATGATCCTTGTCCATTAGTCATCTTGTAATTTTCATTCCTTTCCCATCAATTTGAGTTTCATTTCCTAAATTTTCCTCTTTCAGTAAGCGCAGGAAGAGTGAGAAAGGTGGAAAAGGATTGCGTCACTTTTCCATGAAGGTTTGTGAAAAAGTGAAGGCGAAGGGTACAACTTCATACAATGAGGTAGCAGATGAACTGGTGTCTGAATTTACAGATCCTGCCCGATGTGCATCACCTTCAGATGGTGCCAATGTAGGTTGAATTATTTCCACCTTAAGAATGTTAACTTTTTGTAATTTTTTGCTAAATCCTATCTTATCAGGATTGAAACAAACCCACGTGTGTCATCTGTTCAAAGTGCAGTTCCTTTTATTCTTATCGCAATCATTACCTAAGTTATTTTAATCTTTTTATATCAAAACAATTAGACCATGAGGCCATAATATTTACTCATATTTACACTATTTTCTTAGTATGACCAGAAGAATATCCGACGCCGTGTTTATGATGCATTGAATGTCTTGATGGCCATGAACATCATAAGCAAGGAGAAGAAAGAAATCCGATGGCTTGGCCTCCCCACAAACTCCGCTCAAGAGTGCCGGAAGTTGGAACAGGAAAGACATAAACGTGTGGAACGTATTAAGCTGAAGACACAGCAATTGCAGGATCTCATTTTACAGGTATAGGTCCTTATTGATCTTTTGACATATACATACATACATTTATATACATACATACATTTATATACATACATACATTTATATACATACATACATTTATATACATACATACATTTATATACATACATACATTTATATACATACATACATTTATATACATACATACATTTATATACATACATACATTTATATACATACATACATTTATATACATACACACAATGTACATACATACATACATTATACACACACACACACACACACACACACACACACGTATGTGTGTGTGTGTGTGTGTGTGTTACATATATATATATATATATATACACACACACACACACACACACACACACACACACACACACACACACACACACACACACACACACACACACACACACACACATTTATTTATTTATGATTTATTTTTATTTATATATATATATTTTTTTTTTCTATAAATATATTTTTATAAATATATATAGATTTATATATTTTACTAATAATCTATTATTATTGGGAAAAAAATGGAAATATGATTTATTATTATTATTATTATTATTATTATTATTATTATTATTATTGCCCCCTCCAATAGAAAAGGAAATCTTGTTAGTTAACATTCTGTTTTCAAGGTCACACCTTTCATTTAGTATGTGTGATTTGGTACTTTAGCTTGGGATGTGCACTTTCAGCAAATTGCTTTCAAGAATCTGGTAGAACGCAACAGGAGTGAAGAGCGTGTCCATGGAGCTCCATCGCCAAACTCTGCTATCCAGTTACCCTTCATTATTGTTAATACTAGCAAAAAAACAGTCATTGACTGCTCAATATCTAATGACAAGTAAGTAACTTTTTTCTATTTCAAGTTTAAACACTTAAACTTTGTAAACATGATAAAATTGATTGAATAATTGCATGCATGAAGTTTGATCTTTAAATTGTATACACAGAATTTAGTAGGTAATCAAGTAACTTGTCCATGGTGTACAGATTTGACAGTTCTAGTGATCATTGCTTTCCACAGCAGAAGCAGATATTCTTTTGTAAACACTTCTTTACAATTTTGTTATATCAACAAAGCTGTACATTTTGGACCATGCATCTCCAGGTCCTGGCTGTTAAACCTTTCATTCCCCCCTTCCCTGTTATTTTTCTCTCTTCTTGAATCTTGTTCCTTATTTACCTGCTATTAATATTATTTACTTTCTTCTCACCTATCCAAAATTATTGAAAATTTTGTCAGTGCCTCTTTCCAATCCAGCAATTGGATTACATTATTCCATTTCATAACTGAACTTTTATCAATAAAGTTTGGAAACCCATTTTATGCACTGTTGCTAGCGTTCTTTATATGAACAAATCCCTCACCACAGCTATTGAAGAGAAAGTTACAGTTGTTACCCACTAGTAGTTTGTAGTCATACTAAACATTGTTCACCATTGGTCATCTGTTAGCGCTTTTGATTTTTTAATAATGGTACATTTTGCTTTGCAGAACCGAATACCTTTTCAACTTCGATGACACGTTTGAAATCCATGATGACATTGAAGTTTTGAAACGAATGGGCATGGCTTTAGGTTAGTAGTGTTGATGTGATTGTTGATTGTGCTTTTTAGACTGACTTTTTGTTTTTGTTTTTGTGTAAGTGTGAATTAATTTTATACAGACATGACTTGTTTTTGTAATTAGAATAATTTTCACTTCAGCCACCTTTAAATAATGATGTAGTTTAAGTTATACCTTTGCACAGAAAGTACTGAACTGCAAAATTGCCTTGGTAACACTGCTACTGTTTTTTTATGCTTTGGCAAATTTTGTTATGAGATTTTTAAACACTTCTTTGTCATGTGTCAAATTACAGGTCTAGAGAAAGCCCAATGTTCAAATGTGGATTTGGAGAGAGCCAGATCAATGGTACCAAAGGCACTCGAAAGTTACGTTACAGGTATGCTTTGGTTTTTTGATTATTTGTGGGTTGTGATAGATGATTTACTTATGACCATAATGATCATAGATAATGAAGTGCATCATGTATTTAATATTATTTTCATTGCTTTTAATTTTTTTTTAAATATGTTTATTCCATTATTTACAAATGTAACCTGTAATTATCATCAATAATTCCAGATTTAGCCGAGGGTAATCATGAGCCCAAGCTGAATCTGCGCGAAGACCTGAGTGTCCTCGGCAGCGAACTATATGGGGAGGAAGACATAGAGGTGGGGGGCATGACACGTAGTGGAAGTGGTGGTGCAAGTAGTGGGATTGGAGTCATATCTCGTCATTCCTCCTTAATTTCCCTCCAACATGAACACCGACCTGACTCTGCCTCCCCGTCCTCCTTTGGTGATGAGGAAGATGAAGATATGCTTGATGATTCTGATGGTGACATAAGTTAATTGGAGGAGCAAATACACGTGTCTAAGATAGACAAAGGGTTGAACACCAGATGGGCTTTAACAATAAGAAAGGGTATTTAACATAGGAAGTGTTATTGTGTGTGAGAAGTGCAAAGGAATTTTTGATGGTTGAAGGTCAGATTATGGCCAGTGAAGTGAATTTATTATTGTTTTATTTTATTACTATGTCTTTAAGTTGTGTGTAGGCCTACTTATAAAGTAGGCAAGTCAAAGAGACAGTGTGAAATATTTTTTACTACAACATGAAAATTTGGATGGAGAACCAACCCAAAAGTGTTGGTTACAAGAATCTACAGAATGTGATGTGAGTGGAGTGAAGTGTTCTTACCCTCCCAGTGTTTGGGAATGGCTGCAGCGGTTCCTGAGGCTTATCTCAAAGGACAGATATAATAGGGGTTGCTGAAAATCTGTCAGAAAGAGGTGCTTGGTTGGTTACAAGAATCTACAGAATGTGATGTGAGTGGAGTGAAGTGTTCTTACCCTCCCAGTGTTTGGGAATGGCTGCAGCGGTTCCTGAGGCTTATCTCAAAGGACAGATATAATAGGGGTTGCTGAAAATCTGTCAGAAAGAGGTGCTTGGTTAAGTACATCAAAAGAGGAGCAAATGTGAATATGCAGTCCACCAATAGTTGACTGTAGAGGCAAAACCATTTATCTCCAAAGTGTTGGTTACAAGAATCTACAGAATGTGATGTGAGTGGAGTGAAGTGTTCTTACCCTCCCAGTGTTTGGGAATGGCTGCAGCGGTTCCTGAGGCTTATCTCAAAGGACAGATATAATAGGGGTTGCTGAAAATCTGTCAGAAAGAGGTGCTTGGTTAAGTACATCAAAAGAGGAGCAAATGTGAATATGCAGTCCACCAATAGTTGACTGTAGAGGCAAAACCATTTATCTCCAAAGTGTTGGTTACAAGAATCTACAGAATGTGAAGTACATCAAAAGAGGAGCAAATGTGAATATGCAGTCCACCAATAGTTGACTGTAGAGGCAAAACCATTTATCTCCAAAGTGTTGGTTATTTCTAATGGCAGGGAAGCAGTTGAGGTAAAGCATGGAATGACCAGAGGGTCCGTCTCAGCCTTGGGATTCAGTACAAAGTGAAGTACAATTTGTACTACTGCATCTCTAGTGGCATAGACTTTTCTGTGACTTTGGACTGTTTATATGCAATGTTACTTCATAAATTGAAATGTGAAATTTTTATAACGAAAATTTATGCTGTTTGAAAAGATGTGTTTACTCTGGGAGATATGCAGGAAATTCAGATTAGCCTGTCCTTATTTTTAAGGAAATATCCATTTGTCTTATTGTTCATTACCTGAACATCATTATTTTCTTGAATATCAGAACTTGATATCTTGGTCATAAATCAAATTTGATTATCAATCAAAATCTGGCCTAATCCATTCTTTAACTGCTCTATATCCCAGAGTGTACTGTCTTGAATCACAAATAAGGTAAATGAATTGTTCCAATGGTGAAGTGTCCAAAAAATACAAACCATTGAAACCTTATGGTATGCCATTGGTGATATTTAAACATGTTGGCATCATGAACAGCAACTGTTTAAGACTACAAAGTGAGTTTATTTTTGTGAACGAGAAGAGTATATGTGTAAGAGAGGTTTCTTCCTCTAGGCCAGAAAGACATGTAAATAGTGTTTCCAATTAGCTCATTGAGCCTTGATAACATGAAAAATGTCATCTAAGGTGCTTGTGGTGTGAGCAGGGATTGTGGCCCTAATGAGGATCTTCATTTCTTTTTAATTTTGTTTTACATACTTCCTCAAAGTGCAGAAGCAACTCTAGTACTGCCATAGGGTCATGTTCGCTGCCCCCAGACACAGGTGCCCAAATTAAAGTTTTTGTGCTTTCATCGAACCACTTAATGGTCTCTTCAACACAATTTCTCTTGAATACAAAATTGTGTATAGTACAAATTGTTTAGATAGGAGCATTGATATTTCTCTCATTCCCAAATGCAATTAATTCACAAAGAGGGAAATGCTGCCTGCCTGCCACTGTTATGAGTGAAGAGGAATCTGTCAGAGGCCTATTTATTTGGTCAGAATAGTTAAGTCTGTTTTGTAATTTGTGCCATAACTTGAGGTACAAAGTAATAGGTTAGAACAATGAAGGCAGTATTTTATTATTTTGTGCATGCTTGGAAGTATATTGATATAGTTTGATTAATAAGTTGACTAATTTATGTAGATTATGCAAATGTACGTAAATTTCACTTTATTGCAATATATGATAAGCTAAATTGTTTTTTAAACTTCAATTTCAGGATAATTTTTGCAAGAACTTATTGAGTGCACCAGTGTGATATCTTATTAATCATTTTTACATAGCCATCGACTGACATCTTTTTCATTAGTGTCAACAGCTAGAGCTAATGATATATTTAACTGTATTTGACCAAATGCACAGGCCTACTAAGACAGCTCCCCGGTGTATTATTTTCCCAGAGTTGGAACTAGACTCTTAATTCCTGCATTTAATACAGCATGAAATTTTCTACCGAAAATTCATTTCGTAAAGGAATGTTGGATTTAGTTGTCTAATGATCCAAGGATACTTGATGTGAAAGTGTGCGAGTGTGTGTTATGTACACATTAGATTCTGCACTGAACGATCCCTATTCATGTCTTCACACAAAGTCTTTAAGGATCACATTGTAACATGTTGAGGAAATAGACGGTTTTCTTTAACAATTTTTTTTCTTTTCTTTTTTTTTCTTTTTTCTTTTTTTCTTTTTCCTTTTTTCATTTTTGGTATGGTTTCTGGAAATATAATGGATCTCGGAAGATCCACACATACACACACACCATTGTGAAAAATAGTCCAAGCCAGTTAAATGTTCAACCAGACTTCGTTTTATTCAGACAAAGAAAATGGAATGTGGGAATAGTAAAGTGAACCTCATTTTTTTGTCAGGCTTAAATTTAAGAGTTGAGTACTTAGACTTTGCTGGCTGGATACACTTTTAAACATATAGCTTACGAGTTACCTGAGAAAGTTCCGAGAAAATTGGGAATTCTGAAGAAACAAGTTATTTTCAAGACTTCATTGTGTAAGTGGTTTCCATGAGTGTGAATCAGGCTGAGAGACCAGCTGACTGTGTGTGTGTGTATGGGGGGGGGGGGGTGAACAAGTGTTTATTGCATGTTAATTTGTGTATGAGTGGTGTGTGTGCTTTGTGTAGTGAGTCTGTGTGTATATGGTGTGATTTTTGTGTTTCTTAATGTTTGTGTGGTTTAGGAGTTTGTGAACTAGAGTTTGTGTGTGTGTGCGCACATACATGCATGTATTCATAGGTATGTTGTGTGGTGTTTGTCTGTATGTGGTATGTTTATTTGTATGCTTGTCTGAGTCTATTTGTGGTGTGAGAGTGTTTGTCTCTTGTGTGAACCCGCGTGTATGTGTGTGCCTTACAAATCTGTGCATACATGTGTTTGATGTCTTTTGATGTGTGTGTGTGTGTGTGTGTCGTGTATGTGCACATGCATGTGTGTGTGTGATTTGGCATCTGCATGTGTGGATGTAGGTGGTGTTGGATTCTATGTATGGTGTGTGTCTGTGCACACATACGTTGTGTGTGTGTGTACACAATACATTTCCATGTATTTGCCAACTAGGAATTATTCCACATCAAGTAATAAAGATTATCATTTGGGAAATGAAAAACTTTTGCCCTAAATTACTAAATTAGAAATTGTGTGGTGAGAGAGAGAGAGAGAGACTGTGTGTGTGAAAGTGTGGGCTAAGTAAGACTGGGTGCATGTGGTGAGAGTCTGTGCGCATGTGCGTAAAAGAATGTGTGTCTGCATAAGAGAGAGTGAGAGTCTCTGTGTGCATGTGTTTGTGTGGTGTCTCTCTCTCTCTTCCTGTGGGTGTGTATAAGTCTGCTTTTGGATGTGGTGTGTGAATGAGGGAGCGTGATAAGGGACCGAGTATGAGGGGGTGGGGAGTATGTGCGCGCATGTGTGTACACAAAACAATTTCTTAAATTTGCCAACTAGGAATGAATTCATATAAAGCAATACTAATAATTATTTGGTAAATGAAAAACTTTTACATTGAATATCTGTAATAGAATATTGCAAGGCATATTGGCTGTAGTTATTTAATGGCAGCTATATACATTGCAGTATTATATTTTCACATGTATAGCTTGTTCATGGAAAATATGGAGATATAGCTTACTCTATCAAAAACTTTTGAAATCGCTTCCCCCCATAAAAAGTAACTAGCAGATCCTCGAATAGATTTTCTGTGGTATAATTGTTCTCCTTTTAACATAAAAGACACTTTCTTTTACGGCAAAAGGCAACAGGCAAATGCTGAGCTTTGCGTTCCTTTCACAACTTGCCCCATTTCTACCCTTAACTCCCGTTGACTGCTACACAATGGTGGTTCTGCGGTGGAATATTCAAGCTTTTCATTCTCTCAGACCCGATCTTCGTCTTCTCATACCTTCCAGCAACACACCCATTATCTGGTACCCACAATCCCTTTCCCGTTGTTGTCATGGGGGCTTAGGAAGCAGAGACTGGGACCCAATGCTGGGGAACTCCCCTGCCTTGGTACTCAGCCTTCAGCTCAACTAATTTGGCATGGTCTTTTTTTACCCTCCTGCTTTTTTGTTTCCGTCCCTTCCGCAACTCCTACTATTCACTTCCTAAGGTGTGAGAACCATGCTGAAAGGATGAAAGGCTTACTTTGTGCCAGTCCTGAAGGGCCTAAGGGAGCCATGGGCACAGTATTATTGAGGGTAATAGGGTTTACCCCTTCAAATAGCCCCACCAATACAAACTCCCGATTCCCTGACCCCAGGCTCTCCTTTGACCACGGCTCTGAACACTATAACTACTACCCCTTCCTCAATACCCACTAGTACATTATCCACCCAAATCAACACTCAGTCTCCAGCAGACATTCCTACTCTCCCAACATGCTCAACTTCTTCACCTCTACCCCCACAACCTTCTTCATCAACTACTCCATCCTCCCTTATTACTACTTTACAGCCTTATTGTTCACCTTTTCATAATACTACCTCCCTCAATACTACTCCCTCTTCCAGACGCCCCCGTGCTTCTACTACCCCCATCCCTACTCCGACAACGCACTTTTTTCCAGCAATGTCTCCAAAAACAAGTAGGCAAAAGTCTCTTTCCAGAGCCGACCCGATCGTTCCCGTCTCGTCACAGTAATATCTGAAAACCAAGCTGTAGCATTATCAAATTTAAGTGATCTCTCTGATAACCCGACTCCTGCAAAACCTCCAATCCAACCCCCAACATTGCATCAGAACTTTCTCTCTCCCCAGCTAATTGCCCTATCTCTATCAAAAATTGGTCAGATTGTGGAGACTTACTTGCCTGTCTCACGGATTATGATGCGATAGCAGTACAGTGCTACTTTAT